TTGACATTTCAGTTTCCTCCTTGCCCCAAATTCACATTCTCTAGAACACCAGCATGCAACTGAGACCTGCCTTTTTTGTGTTTTTACATCTAGGGGACTGGTACTCTTATACCAATGTAATATGATATAAACAGCAATGAAATAATGAAGTATTTGATGACATTGAACCATCTTTCCTGATGGTACACAGACCCTGGGAGAATGACTTGCTCAAATTTAGTAAAGAGAAACCAGTGACACTGTACTATTTTTAGACTAGCTAGATAATAGCCATAAATAAGTAAAACTAGGAGATAATTTTGTGCTTTAAATGGTTTTTTTTTTATTTTTTATTTATTTGAGACAGACCCTCACTCCATCACCCCAGTCTAGAGTGCCCTGGCATCAGACCAACTCACAGCAACATCAAACTCCTGGGTTAAGCGATCTTCTTACCTTAGCATCCCAGGTAGCTGGGTGGGACTACAGATGCCGGCCACAACCCTTGACTAATTTTTCTATTTTTTAGTAGAGACCAGGAGCCTCGATTTTGCTCAGGCTGGTCTCAAGTCCTGACCTGAAACAATCCACCCACTTTGGCCTCCCAGAGTGCTGGGATTACAGGTGTGAGCCACAGAACCTGGCATGTAATCATTCTTGTAGACCTACTTTACAAAACATCTGTGATCTAATAATTTACATATGCCCCAAATGATACCAAGACCAAATGAAAAATCATATACAAATTTGATTTCTTATGTCTAGTTGAATTCTTCCTGTCCTAGGAAGAATATTTGCAGAGTAAGAAATAAACTGAGTAGGCTTTTTCAATGATGCCCTGGCTTTGCAAGTGAAGAGAATATGATAGCCTTCACAAAAACAGGCCTGAAAAGAGAAAAAATTATGTTGTAATATAGAATTGGATTACAAACCGTAACTGAAATGGACACTGTAATCTTCAAAATCTTTTATTTGAGTATGTCTTGTGAGAGGCAAAAAGAAGGTCCTTGTCCTTGCCAGGTGGTACCTTGTAAGCCCTCAAATGGGTATTATCCTGTAGGACAGGCAGTGACATTGATTATGATAACAAAAGATTGGAAACAATATAAATGTTCATTAGTAAGTATCTGTTAAATAAACTATAAGTCATCTATAGCAGAATATTGAGCAGCTGCAAAAAAAAGATCGGGGATATTTTGTATATCTTGAAATGGAACAATATTCAAAAGATAATTTAGGCTCGGCGCCTGTGGCTCAAGCGGCTAAGGCGCCAGCCACATACACCTAAGGTGGCGGGTTGGAATCCCCAGCTCGGCCCGCCAAACAACAATGATGGCTGCAACCAAAAAACGGCTGTGCGTTGTGGTGGGCGCCTGTAGTCCCAGCTACTTGGGAGGCTGAGGCAGGAGACTCGCTTGAGCCCAGGAATTGGAGGTTGCTGTGAGCTGTGATGCCATAGCACTCTACCCAGGGGGATAGCTTGAGGCTCAGTCTAAAAAAAAAAAAAAAGATAATTTAGTCGTAATTACTTTTTTTGTTTAAAATACTAAAAAATAACCTATACTTGCATCAAAATCTGTGAAAGAATATGCATGCAGATACAAAAATTACTACCTAAGGAGGGAATTTAATGATTTTCATTGAATGTCTTATTAACAGTGCTCTTTTTTTAACCAAATAGTGTATAACTTACTCAAAAAATATTTTGAAAGTCTCGTTTTGTGGTGCAGAGTCTGTGGAAAATAGTATGGCCATTCCTTAAAACCTTAAACAAAGAAATACTCTATGACCCAGCAATTCCACTTCTAGATGTATACACAAAAGAAATGAAAAGCAGAACTCAGAACTCAAACAGTTTTATATCCACATTCATAGCACAAAAGCCAAAAGATAGATGGTAAGCAAATGTCCAGCAGCAGATGAATAGATAAAGAAAATGTGGGTACAACAGTATATTAATCAGCTTTAAGAAGTAAGAAATTCTAACACACTCTGTGATATAGATGAGCCTTGCAAACGTTATGCTAAGTGAAATAAGACAGACGCCTGTAGTCTCAGCTGCTTGGGAGGATGAGACAAGAAAATCGCTTGAGCCCAAGAGCTCGGGGTTGCTGTGAGCTGTGACGCTACGAGGGTGACCAAGTGGAACTCTGTCTCAAACAAAACAAAACTAAACAAAATATTGTGTGAGTGTTGCCAGAAAATAGGGGAAAGGAGAAATGGGAAATTAGTGCTTGATAGGAGTTTCAGTTGAGTAAAGAAGAAAAAGGTCTGGATATGCAAAAGGTTGGTGGTGATGTTTGCAAAACAATGTGAATGCTTTTGGTGCCACAGAACTGAACACAAAAAATGGTTAAAATAGTAAATTTTATTATGTATATTTAACCACAAGGAAAAACTCATTTTGTTATCAAAGGACAGATTAGACAAAGAATAGGTGCCAATCCACAAAGGGCCGAAACAAGTATTAGACATACAAAGTAGCCCCAACGGAATTTGTTTTTCTAAGAGGTGACAGATTTGGAAGCAAAATGTAACTCAACGCCCAACGTGGGGCTCGAACCCACGACCCTGAGATTAAGAGTCTCATGCTCTACCGACTGAGCTAGCCGGGCGCCACAAAAAGGTGGGTGATTTACATTTCCTTCAAGATTAGCTACTGCTGCTTTCAGTTTCACCACTAGAGCTGATTAATTTGCACTGTGATAGAAGTAAGGAAAGTGTCTTGACAGCTCGGGACATTCAAGCTCCGCCACCCTTGTCCGACCGTCCCTCCCACTTACGTCGTTTTCTGGTTTTGTTCTATCCTATCAGCAGAGACCAGACCTTTTCCCACCGCTATGAACTGCACGGCGCTAAGGAAAAACGGAGGCATCCTGATGACGTTAGATCACTCCCCTGGTAGATTTTTACTCACAAGAGAAAAGCAAGGGATAGGGTTCCGAGACCCGACGTCTCTGCAGCGGAACTTTTCCAACCGCCACATACACCAACCGTTGTTCCTAGGCGCTCTGCAAAGAAGCTGTATTTCGAAATTTAAGAGAAAACAAAAGGAAAAGGTGCAAAACATTGGTGGAGATGCCGGGGATCGAACCCGGGGCCTCATACATGCAAAGCATGCGCTCTACCACTGAGCTACATCCCCACTTATCGTAGCTATTCTTCTGTCACTCTGTCAGTGGTTGGTGGCTCAGGCCGCCGAGAGCCGGAGGTGTGTGTCCCGGACTAGCTGCAGACCCGCTGCCTGGCTACATCGCAGGCTGCTCCACAGTGCCCCCGCTGACTCCACACAGCGGATCTTGACCACCAGGTGCCACGAGGGAGTACTGAGCCAGGATAAACACCTGGAAGCAGCGGTGGAAAAAGACGAGGGAATCATGAAGTGTAATGCTCAAAATGAACAGTGACCTGAAAAAGGGAAGTAGAAGGAAGACCGTGTGCTGTACGCTACTTTTCTTTTTTAAAAAGAGAGGTTGAAGTGGTAAACTATAGCATCTTTGAATACAATAATCAAGAATTGTAAAGTTGATTGCTTGGGATGGAGAAAGAACTGAACATAGGCTATGGGCCAAGTTTTCATAGGAACTGCTCAGCTTACAGATTTTTAACCGTATTTAAATCTGTTCAATGAAGACAAGCTTTCTGAACTTGCCAAGAACTGCTCTAAAATCTGAAGGTTCAGCCATGAAAAAACCTAACACAGTTCACCCCTTCTGAGAGCGCAGAAAAAACAGCAAAATGGGAGGAAGCGAGTCCGGTTAACTAGCGATTTTAAACAGTGTAAGTGGTCTGAGCAGGTTCACTGACAAGGTGACATTTGAAACAAGAGATGGAGGCAGGATATGAGCTGCGCAAGTCTGGGAGAAAAGAGGGCGAAGTGAAGGGCACAGCCAGTGCAAAGGCCATGCGATTAGGTTCTTGGTGACATCACGCTGGAGTAGCTAGATGGCTGTGCGGCTAGAATGGAGTCAACTCCCAGAGAGCAGAAGAGAGAGAGGCTTGGGTGCAGGAGATGGTGACAATGAATAGCTAGGGTTTGGGGGGTAGTTTAAAGGCTTCGACTTTTACTCTGAGAGAAATGGTAGCCACTGGACAATGTGGAGCAGAGGAGGGCCCGCATGTGTGCTGGGGAGTCATCAGCAAGGGTCTTTCCGGCCAAGAAAGCTGAAGTGATTACAAGGGTGTGAGTGACCGAGGCCCGTGGAGTGGAGGGAGAGGAGGAGGAAACCACAAGAGGATATCCTGGTGGGAGGGAAGTCAGGAGAATGCAGTGTCCTGGAAGGCTGAGAAAGGATGTCTAGAGGTCGGGAGCATCAGAGGGCAGGCCAGGTGAGGTCTTGGTCTTTGGGATAGAATCAGAGGTCTCTGGTGACACTGACAAGGGCAGTTTCTGAGGGAAGTGGATGAAAGCCTGAGCTTAGTAGCTTCTCGGGGGAATGAGGAGAGGTGGAAACGGTAATACTGGCTAATTTTGGAATGGGGTTGCGGCAGCGAGCTGAGGGAAGAGAGATCGTCCATTTATTCCGGGGTTGTGGGGGTGGGGAATGATACTGAGTAAGGTGAGAAAATTGTAAACGTATTATTTGTTCAAACATTACATAAAGAATAAAGGGAGCGGACAGTGCCGGGGAAGGTAGTTACAAACTGGATACAAGGCCAAGTTTGGGAATGAGGAAACAGGATTAGATTCCAGATCTAAATTTAGCTCAGTAGAGGGCCTGGACGAACCTGCACTGTGGGAACCTGACACCGTGGCCGGTTCACCGGGCAGTTGCCTGGCGCTGCTGGTCGGCCTCGGTCGGTAACTGGGGTTGGCGCCCAACTGGATCTGTACGCCCACCTGTCGCGGTCCGTTTCCCGTGGCTGACTGGGTCAAGCTAGGGCGGCCTAGAGAGGTTGAAGGGCCCTGGGTGGGGCGACAAGCAGGAGGCCTCTGGCTAAGGCGGGCACTGGGGGAGCCCAGATCCAGGGTGTAGGGCGCTATCTTGCACTTGAATCGCCCTGTGTCACCAGGCCAGGCATCAACGAGCACCCTCCCCACTCGGCCCGCAGCCGGGCACGCCCTCAGCTCACGTCTGGGCCTGCCTAGTGTCCGCCCCGCCCTTCTTCCACTGGACGCTCCGAAGCCAGCCCTGGTGTCTGTACTCCGAGCCGCTCACTGTCACGTTCTTTGGCCGCCCGGAAGCCTCCCAGCCTGCCTGCTCGGAGGGCGTGCATGGCGGCTGTGGGACCGCGGACCGGCCCGGGTGCCGGGGCCGAGGCGCTCGCGCTGGCAGCAGAGCTGCAGGGCGAGGCGACGTGCTCCATCTGCTTGGAGCTCTTCCGCGAGCCGGTGTCCGTCGAGTGCGGCCACAGCTTCTGCCGCGCCTGCATCGCGCGCTGCTGGGAGCGTCCAGGTGCCGGGGCTACCGCGGCGTCCGGCGGACTGCCTTGCCCACTGCCCTGCCCACAGTGCCGCGAACCCGCGCGCCCCAGTCAACTGCGGCCCAACCGGCAGTTGGCGGCGGTGGCCACACTGCTGCGGCGCTTCAGCCTACCCGCGGCCGTCTCAGGGGAGCTCGGGTCCCCGGCGGCCGCGGCCCGCTCCGCGCCTGCCCGGTGCGCACAGCACAGCGAACCGCTCAAGCTCTATTGCCAGGATGACGGGCGCGCCATTTGCGTGGTATGTGACCGCGCCCGCGAGCACCGTGCGCACGCAGTGCTGCCCCTGGACGAGGCCGTGCAGGAGGCGAAGGTGAGCGGAGGTTCCTCCCCTGCTGGTCCCCCAAGTCCCTACCCTGGCCCAGCCCTCCCGCGCACGCGGCTCAGGTGACACTTGAGCCCCTGCCTCCTTTCTACTCCAGGCTGCCCAGCACTGGATCCGGGCCTGAGCGCGGCTCTCCCTCCGTTAGCCCTCCCAATGCCCGCACTGTGTTTCGTTCTCGGCTGGTTACTGGGCCACCTAAATGACGCCTCCACGAACTTAGCGATTTTCTTCCTGTCTATCCCTGGCTTCTAGCCTGGTCTGCATTATTGCAACTCTTAGGTCGCAGGAACACCCACTCATGGGCTGAGGTCCCTCTTATCTCTTTGCTTGGGGTGTGGTTCTACTCAAAGTCTACCTTGTGCGAACAAATGTGAAGACCTCGCCAAGAGGTCGGGGGCAAGGGGTGCCTGAGTTAAGCAGAGCGTCCATAGCCTTCTGGGCTGTGCCAAGTCTGCCAATTCTGGGCGCCTCCCCCTGGCTGTTTCCTTGCTGGACCCTAGGAGGTGAGCAAGTCCTCAGGCTTTCCTTGCTTCTCCACATTGCTCCAACCCTCCCACCTAGAGGGCATTCTGATCATGGGCAGGAAAGCTGAGGAGCGCACAAGGCGGGTTGGGCTGCTGAGGGGCATGTGGTTCGACCTGGGGTGCAGCAGATACCGTGAGGAAGCATGTCCTGGGTTCTTCAGAGTCAGCCTGCCCTTGCTCTGCACTCCTGTGTGTGGCCTGCACGCACTGTATCCGACCCAATCCGTATGCCTTCTACCCGGCCTCGCCTTCATGAGTAGGGAAGGCACACGTGGAGGTTTCCGGAATTCTCTCCCCACTGTACTTCCCTTCTCCCTGCAGGAGCTCTTGGAGTCCAGGCTCAGGATTTTGAGGAAGGAACTGGAAGACTATGAGGTGTTCCGGTCCACGGAAGAGAAGGAGAGCAAGGAGCTCCTGGTGAGCCAGGGACCCCTCAGCTGGGCTCCCTGGGAGGCAGCAGAGGCCCTCCCTCCCCCACCAGGGCTCTGTGCATCGAGTTGAAGTGTGCCCTGTGGAACAGCAGGATGGATTTTAGGAAGATAACAGGGTGCATATTATGTAGGGTGACCATATAATTTATTGTACAAACCAGAGCTTTTGAGAGTGAAAGGGAGTGTTAAGATAATTAGTACAGAACAGCTGGCTTAAGCTGGAACTGATCCCAGAAAATCAGGACTTACAGTCACTCTAATATTATATAACACTGTTTATGGCCTGTGGAAATAGCTTGTAACTGAGCACATTAATATTTCTGTGGAGAAACATATAAATATTCACATCAAGTGGACCTTAAATACAATAAAAAGCCTCATGTTCAAGGCATACTTTGTCACCAAAAGAAAAGTGAAAAAAAATTTGTTTTCAGGGTGGTGCCTGTGGCTCAATGGAGTAGGGTGCTGGCCCCATATGCCAGAGGTGGCAGGTTCAAACCCATCCCAGGCCAAAAAAAGGACAAAAAAGTCTATTTTCAGAGTTTCTTTTTTTTTTTTTTTTTTGAGACAGAGCCTCAAGTTATTCCCCTGGGCAGGGTGCTGTAGCATCACAGCTCACAGCAACCTCCAACTCCTGGGCTCAAGCGAGTCTCCTGCCTCTGCCTCTGCCTCCCAAGTACTCGGACTACAGGCGCCCACCACAATGCCTGGCTATTTTTTGCTTGCGGCTGTCACTGTTATTTGGGAAGACAGGCTGGATTCGAACCCACCACCTTAGGTGTATGGTGGCTGGTGCCTCAGCCACTTGAGCCACAGGCACTGAGCCCCTCAAACTTTTTAAACAGGGGGCCTATTTTCAGAGTTTTTGACTTTGAAATTGAGGCTAAGGGAGATGGGGCTCAGGGGGTATTAGAACTGCTTCTGGTCTGGCAGAGGGCAGGAGGTTTAGAGACCTGCGTTTACAGCAGTCCCTGCTGCAGCAGCAGCCCAGGCTGCCAGCACTGTTCCCCGCTCCCAGTGGTGATGATATTTTGATCTCCTTAGGATAGAATAGGAAAGTGAAATGTTTAAGGTAGGCAAATGGTGCACTTCTGATCACACATTCATTATAAAGAAACAATAGAGGTAGAGTACAACTATTGCCACGTGATAAAAAAAAGGAGAATGAATATCCTAGGGGCAATACTCTTACCCCAGGAGGTAGTTTTGGTTGTCAACACTGGGATGGGAGTGCTAGTGGCCTTTAATGGTAGAGGACAGAAGTGTTGCACTAAGTGCAGCTGAGTCATAGCTCACAGCAACTTCAAACTCTTGGGCTCAAGCAATCCTCTTGCCTCAGTTTTTCATTTTTAGTAGAGACTCGGTCTTACTCTTGCTCTGGCTGGTTTCGAAATCCTGTGCTCAAGTGATCTGCCCACCTTGGCCTCCCAGAGTGCCAGGATTATAGGCTTGAGCCACAACTCCAGTGAGAATATTTGGGAAATACTATTTTGCTTGTGCTATCTCCTTGGGAGGCAGTATGATGTAACTTTGAGAAGCTCAGACTTTTTGGATCAGATGCCCCATTTTGAAGCTTGGCTCACTACTTCTTGGTGATATGTCCGTCTTCTCCTTCAAAGTGTACCCTCCCACATCCCTGTTGTCAGGGCTGAGTGGGTTTATACTGTAAGTGTTCTGTGCTGCTGCCACTGCTGCTTGCTCAATATCCCGATGATGAAGGTAAGGTAGGGGCCCTGTGGGATGTTTTGGGAACATGGCTTCTCACTTGCTGCTAGCCATGAGAAGCTTTGCTCGCTGTAACATGCCAAGTGCCATGCATGTGTTCATGTAAAAATTCAAGAGATCAGGAGTGGGAGTCTGTCTAAAAACACACTCACTGGGTGAGGCATGATGGCTCATGCCTGTAATCCCAACATTCTGGGAGGTTGAGGTGAGTGGATCCCTTAAACTCAAGAGTTTGAGACCAGCCTGAACAAGACTGAGACCCCGTCTCTACTAAAAATAGAAAAAGTAGCTGGGTGTTGCTTTTTTTTTTTTTTGGCTGGAGCTGGGTTTGAACCTGCCACCTCCAGCATATGGGGCAAGCGCCCTACTCCTTTGAGCCACAAGCACTGCCTGAGCCTCTTCTTCTTCTTCTTTTTTTTTTTTAGACAGAGCCTCAAGCTGTCCCCCTGGGTAGAGTGCCGTGGCATTACAGCTCACAGCAACCTCCAACTCCTGGGCTCAAGCGAGTCTCCTGCCTCAGCCTCCCAAGTAGCTGGGACCACAGGCGCCTGCCACAACGCCCGGCTATTTTTTGGTTGCAGCCGTCATTGTTGTTTGGCGTGTCCCGGCTGGGGATTCGAACCCGCCACCGTAGGTGTACATGGCTGGCGCCTTAGCCGGTTGAGCTATAGGCGCCAAGCCAGCCTCTTTCTTCTTTTCTACTTTTCTGTATCTCCCAGGTTTGCATTCTGATCATGTGTATCTATTATAATCAATTGCTAAACAGAAAAGAGGATCTTTAAAATAATGTAGAGAGTTGGTGTGGTGGCTCATGCCTGTAATCCTAGCACTCTGGGAGGCTGAGGTGGGTGGATTGCCCTGAGCTCACAGGTTCCAGACCAGCCTGAGCAAGAGCAAGACCCCGCCCCCACCCCCCAATCTCTAAAAATATCCGAGCATTGTGGCAGGCATCTGTAGTCCCAACTACTTGGGAGGCTGAGGCAAGAGAATACCTTGAGCCCAAGAGTTGGAGGTTGCTGTGAGCTATGATGCCATAGCACTCTACCAAGGGCAACAAAGTGAGACTGTCTAAATAATAATGTAGGTGTGGCTAGGTGTCTTACACCTATAATTCCAGCACTTTGGAAGGCTCTAGCAGGGATAGCTTGAGGCCAGGAGTTCAAAACCAGCATGGGCAACATAGCAAGACCTCTCCTTCATCTCTACAAAAAATAAGCTGGGCATAGTGGTGCGTGCCTGTAGTCCTAGCTACTTGAGAGGCTGAGGCAGGACAATCACATGAAGTCAGGAGTTTAAGGGGAAAAATCAACCTCAATTTAAGGCTTATGATGACCCTATTAATTTATTCCTCTGTTTTCAAGAGAAGATACTGTAGCCCCAGTAAATTCTAAGAGTTTAAAGTTGCCCCAGTTTAGGTGGTAGAGATGCAGGAGCACATCCATTGCAGGGCAGAGAACATGTGTTGAGGCCTACATGAAGCTGGGATATGGGAATTACAGCCTGTGCACAGGCAGGTTGCTGGGTATACCCAGGAGTCCCAAGTGGTGAGGGAGAGGAGCCCTGCCCTGTAGGAGGACTCAGAGGTGCCTATTCAAGTCCATTGCCTCTCTAATGTCTTCTCCTCTGAGACAGAAGCAGATGGCCACAGAGCAGGAGAAAGTGGGGGCGGAGTTCCAGGCACTGCGGGCCTTCCTCGTGGAGCAGGAGGGACGGCTTCTGGGCCGCCTGGAGGAGTTGTCCCGGGAAGTGACACAGAAGCAGAATGAGAACCTGGCCCAGCTAGGGGGTGAGATCACCCAGCTCTCCAAACTCTGCAGCCAGATCCAGGAGACAGCCCAAAAGCCTGACCTAGACTTCCTCCAGGTGCGTCTGAGTCTGGCTCCACCTGGGGTTGAGTCATTCACCCAGAGGCATCAGGATCCAGATTGAGGGTTTAGTATAGGGTGACCAGATTTTAACATCTGTAAGGCGGGACAACATGGCGGGGGGGG